AAAGTACTCGTAATTAAATCCCATGCAGCGTCATCTCTTTCCCAACGTTGAACTCCAGTGTGAGAAGTGCAAAGAATGAAATTGGAGCTCTATGATTTTGTTTGATAGATGATTTTGGACTTTTATTTTTCCTGAAATCAAATGCAGGAACGGAACATGTTAAACTCGCAGTATTTCAAGGATCTCCTCACTATAGATTAGATCCTTGAGGAGGAAATATTCGTGTTCGAATAAAATATTCGAGCATTTCGAATACTCGGAATCGACATTTGAAAATTCGGAGAAACCCATTTATTCAGATTGCGTAAGGTCAAATATTCGAAAAAATGCATTTGTTCAGTTGAATAGTTGAATATTTTGCATCGTCGAATTCTGAATATTCGAGTTCGAATAGTTCTGGAACTGAGAATCGTATTTATTAATGTCTAATTTCAATTTGTTTGTTCGAATATCTGCGCAGTAAATGAATACGATTGAGACTGAGTTCCCATGTCTGACTGAAATATTCGAATAACTCGATTATTCGCACACTCGAATATATTCGAACATTCGGAAAAACGCATTTACTTTGTTATTCGAACACCCATATATTCGCGGATGCCCAATTATTCGACGATGCGAATGGTCGAACATTCAGGATCCTTGCCATTTGAATATTCGTATTGGATTATAGGAGGATAATAATGACGATATAAATACTGATTTGCCCAGTATATTACTACGAACGTATATTCCATATTCGCTCATTTGAAATTTCAATTTTTCATATATAGGCCTTTTGGGTTACGCTTATTTGTTCAGGCGTAGGACCAACGTCATCCCAGAGCAAAATAGTCTAGACGAACAATGGAAGCAGTTGAGAGAATGCACTCCAATAAAGCGACGCCTTCGCATGCGCGAAGCAACGGGCTAGTGCTTCCAGCACGTGGCTTATCTTACGCTATTTAGAAATAAAATTAATTTTGAGTAATGCTTTAAAATGACAAAGGCTGTGAAGAATTTGATTGCCACATTGATATTTAGCATCCGAAAGCGTTTCAGAAACAAAATGTTCAAAAATTTGTAACATCGTGCATGTCTATAATACGCCCAATCGATGATTCAAAACCCTGTACCTTATCTTCTCTACCTATGTCTGTTTCAAGAAGGGGTCTCTTCTCGGTTTGCGAAGATTTGAGGACGGTCACTTAGATTTTCACTTTCAGAATGAGCGAAGCGATGAAAGAAATCCAAGAGAAGTTCCTCAAGAGAAAGGAGGAGGATGGACGAAGAAATCATCGAAAGTAATAAACATTTTCTCATTCCCTTATTACCGCCATATAACTGGGATAATGTAGTTATATGAAATGGAAGCTCGAATATGTCGAAGCGGAGCAGAGAGCCCGCG